ATTTTTTTTTCTATTTTTTTACCTACCGCTGCTTCCTACCTTCTACAATTTCCAATTCGCAGGGCGCAGTGCGCAGCTGCGAAGCGCATAAAGCAGAACCACCGCTCCGCGCGCTCCGCAAGGCGAGCGCAGTGCGCTGCTGCGAAGCGCATGTACTGCTTGAACTTTGTAAGACTATAAGAGGCTAACCTTCATCTTACGTTTTTAATAATACGAGCCCTTTCAGATTTGAACTGAAATTACTCTAATCGACAATTAGATGCTTTACCAATTAAGCTAAGGGCCCTCCTCAACGCGCGCTGCCTCCTTCGCTAGGGTTGCCTTTTAGCTAACATGCGACAGGGGCAACTCCCCCCCCCCCGTCCCCACCCTGACGCTCCCTCCTACTTCGCCGTATTGAAAGTTGGACAAATTTAACTGTCCACCTGCAAGCTACAATTCGACAGGGGGAATAAGGGCTTTTTCAGAAATTTACCTTGCGGATTTTTTATTTTATTACTTAAATTAGCTACTTGTTTTCGTGTTACGCACGCTTCGCGCAATGCGACAATCACGCAGGGAGCCTACGCGCAAGCGCATTACGTGAGCCCACCTGTGCTGCGCGTGCTACGAAGGGCCACCCTGCGGAAGTTAAACCAGTCCAGGTAATCAGGCGACGGCCCGGAACCCCCACCCCTTCGGGGGGGGGGTGCGTGCTAAAGCACTCCTGCTTTAGCATCCTGACGAGCTCCGCACGCGCTTCACGATCGTACCCCCTGCGGAGTCTAGAGGGGGGTGCTACAATCCTGGTACAGGATTACACGGGTTCCCGATTCGGTATGCAGGCCGGGGGGACAAGGGGGTAGTTCGTACCTAGAAACGTTCCGCGAATTTGGAATGCGCTAATTTACCCTCCGATCCTTCCCGCGCTTTGCTGCTGCGCACTACTAGGTTCTGCATATTCATGCGAAGCTGTGACGACCTAACTGAACCTGCAGGGGTACGACCCCTCCTCGCGCTTCGCTCCCTTCGGCCCGCAGCACTGCGCCCTGCGGAGATTGCCATGCGCCTCGCAAACTGCGCACGGTAAAGCAGAGCGAAGGACTCCGCAGGGGACCGATGTCCCCTGCGGTTAAGCTAGCGGTAGGTAAGGGTGTTTTGAAAAAATTTTAAATAAATTTCTCGGAATAGAGAAGATTCGAACTCCTACAGGTACCACCGAGCAATTAGCAATTGCCTTATCTTGCCAATGAATACTATTCCTATTATTTTCTATGAAGCACGCTGCGCGCCACAGGGGGGTGAGGGGTGCCCTTTAGTTCCTGCCTATAAGTGGGGCAGTGGGGATGCCGTATGACTGACCGACACCGCTGCGAGGCAGCCCGGCTCCTATATTACCGTGCAGCGTGAGGTACGGGCGCAGCGCTCCCTTCGCGGCGAACCAGAGCAGCGATTGCGAGGCGAACCCTGCTGCACAGCAAGCAGCGCCTTCGTAGTACAGCTTTCTAGGACACCTGCTTTAGAGGCAGAACACCCCTTCTGAGCTGAGAGTTACCTTCTGCGCACCGCTCCTTCTGTAGAGCTCTTGCAGAAGAAATCACCCCAGCGGAGCGCGCTCACGCATAGGCGGATATATTTAAAGGAAAGATGTAAAAAAAAAGGTATTTACTGGGAAGAAACAAGTAGATAAATTTTTTTATTTTTAATGAGTGTGGAGGGTCAGGGGCTATGGTTGGAGCTGCTGTCTGTGCTATGCTAAAGGGGGTAATGGGTTGTAAATTTTAGCGCGTAGCGGTTGCTCCTTCTGCAGCCCTACGGTCGCGAAGCGCGAGAGCTACAGGCGCGAGAAAGCGACACGCATAGTTTCGCTTGCTGGGGCAAGCCAGCGTAGCTGGCCCGCTAAAGCGAAGTACTGCGGCGCGCTTTATTTACTCAAGCAAGGGCTCGTTGCGGAGCTCCCGCCCCCAGCGACTGCTGTGCGCTCCTGTTACCAGAAGCAACGTTGCATACTTAACTGTAAAGAACTAAGAAAGCAATCATTAATGCGAATAATCCTGTGGCTTCTGCTAAAGCGAACCCTAGGATTGCGTACGCAAATAATTGTCCTCTTAATTGAGGGTTTCTAGCTGTAGAAGTAATAAGAGATGCGAAAATTAAACCTATACCTGCTCCGGCTCCAATTAAACCTGAACAAGCTAATCCTGCTCCAATGTATTTTGCTGCTGCTAACATTTTTTTTTATTATTTTTTTTTAAGATAGCGTCTAACATATTTTTTATTTTTAATCAATTTTTTTTCATAAAAATACAATACTCTTTTAAAAAAAATTATTTCTGCTTTAGCATCCGCAGGACTGAGCTTCGTGCTGCTGCTGTTGACGACTAAAGCAGTACCCGCCTTTCATCGCTGCGCTGTCCAGCTACGCAGAATAAGGACCGCGATACTCGCGCTTTGCGCACACCGAAGGGCGCCAGCTGCGCTTCGCGGCCGCTGTGTTAAAGCAGTCCACCGCTCCTGGGTGGAGGGTTCCACCTGCACCCCCTGCTGATCGGAGCGCCGCTAAAGCAGGCGCTTTGCACGCTTCGCACTGGCCCCTTCCCTGCAGTGCTTCGCCTGGTGGGGGCCGCACTTAACCCCGACCGCTAGCGGGGAAGGGGACTGCTGCTGATGATGGAGAGATAATTTATATAAAGTGGCTCCGCTCGACTGCGGCCCTTGTATCTTTGAATATAAGTAGCCCTTCGGAGGGCCAGCCATACACTCCAACCGTAAGTGGGGGCCCGACAGCTAAAGGTCAAGAGTCCGCAGTCCTAATGTTAATTTTGCAGGCGAAGGGGTGCGGAGCGTGTGTAGGTGAGTGCCCTCGGGGGAGCGAAATACTTTATCGGCTCATACTCACCGCAGCCTTTCGAAGGCGGGACACTACGCCTATCTTTTTCTCTCTGCAAGCCGAACACCGCACAGGTCTGCAATAGTCAGCGAGGTAATGCAGCCTTTCCTATATCACCTTCCGCAAACCTATGGCTCCCACTGTAAAGAGGTTTAAATATCTCCACACCTTTGACCTCTGGAATGAAGTGTGTGTTGAACCTGACTACGGGATTTCTTGATTGGATTTGTAGTAGCGCCGACCTTAAATCAAGGATGCTGTACCTCCTGCTGTCCTCCCTCGCTCCGCAGGGCGAGCAGCGCGCGCTACGCTCCCTTCGGGCAAGCAGCGATGCTGGAGCTCCGCAGGGGGCAACCCTTAAGAGGTGGGGGGCGCGGACAGCGCCGGGCATAGGAAAAAAGGATAGAGAGAAAAATAAGTAGCGATAATCCTCATCTTCAATAAGAAGGGGTCGCGAAGCGCTTGCGGGGAACCCTTCCGACAGCTTTAGCCCTTTAGCCTTTTAGCGCTGCGGACTATTATAGTTACTAACTACCCCCCCCCCTTTCTTTACCGCCTCTCCTTTACCTATGCATACTACCTTCTCCTTTAGGGGGTTGGTTGAGGGTTAGCGCGCACCACACCACCCTCCCTGCTCCCTCGCACACCGCCCCGCTCCGCAGGCGCTGCTCCGCATGCGCGAACCCTGCGTACCCCGCGAACCACGGCTCCGCAGGCGAGGAGCTGCATGTGGCCACCGGAGAAGGAGCATGCAGTGAATAAAGGGGGTAGTGAATCAAGGTCAATTTATTATTTTTTAACTTCTTTAACTTTTTTAACTTTTTTAACTTTTTTTAATTTCTTTAATATTAAGATTGTTTTGGGTTACTTGTAAAGCAATGCTCAGGAGCTGGGCTAGCTACTGTTCATTCCAATTCTTTATAACTTTCGATCAAGTTAAATTTAAGTTCTTCATCATAGTGAGAAGGGATACTTCAAGCGTTATTTTGTATTGAGTCTTTGGCTGGTTTACTTGAAAATATATCGAAAATAACATATCCAAATAATACTGTCGCAATAACTGAAATAATAGAACCTAAACTTGATACTAGATTTCAACCAGCGTATGAATCTGGGAAATCAGGAATTCTTCTAGGCATACCGGCCATTCCTAAAAAGTGTTGCGGGAAGAATGTTAAATTAACCCCAATGAATAATGTCCAAAAGTGGATTTTACCTAATTTTCATTAAATAATTTACCTACGATTTTCGGAGTTCAATAGTAGAATCCAGCAAATAATCCAAATACTGCTCCCATAGATAGTACGTAGTGAAAATGAGCAACTACGTAGTAAGTATCATGGAACGCTATATCAATTGAAGCATTTGAAAGTACTACTCCGGTTAATCCACCGAATGTGAATAAAAATAGGAAACCTACTGTAAACACAAGTGGTGTATGTAATCTTAAACTACCACCGTATAGTGTAGCTAATCAACTGAAGATTTTGATACCAGTAGGCACAGCAATTACCATCGTAGCGGCAGTAAAATATGCTCTCGTATCTACATCCATTCCGATTGTGAACATGTGGTGAGACCACACTAGACAACCTAGTATTCCAATAGAAAACATTGCATAAACCATACCTATTTGACCAAAGATAGGTTTACCTGAAAATGTAGAAACAATGTGACTAACTATTCCGAAGGCTGGAATAATTAAAACATATACTTCAGGGTGACCAAAGAACCAGAATAGGTGTTGAAACAATACAGGGTCACCTCCTCCAGCTGGATCGAAGAAGGATGTATTAAAGTTTCTATCAGTTAAAATCATTGTTATTGCTCCGGCTAATACAGGTAAAGTAATTAGCAGTAAGATTGCTGTTACAAAGATGGCCCAACAGAATAACGGCATTTTGTGAAGCAACATCCCATCAGTTCTCATATTAAGTGCAGTAGAAATGAAATTTATAGCTCCCAATAATGAAGATACTCCAGCTAAGTGTAGTGAGAAAATTGCTAAATCAACTGAACCTCCTGAGTGAGATTGAATTCCAGATAATGGAGGATATATTGTTCAACCTGTACCAGCTCCATTTTCTACTAATGCACTTAATAATAGTAGTAATAGTGAAGGAGGTAACAATCAAAATGATATATTATTTAGTCTCGGAAATGCCATATCTGGGGCACCTAATTGTACTGGTAAGAAGTAATTACCAAAACCTCCTACTAAACCAGGCATAACCATGAAGAAAATCATTATTAATGCGTGAGCAGAAATGATTACGTTAAACAATTGGTGGTCTCCCTCTAAAAATTGTAATCCAGGAGCAGCTAATTCTAATCTAATTAAAACTGAAAAAGCAGCAGTACCTATCATACCGGCAAACACAGCAAAAACTAAATAAAGGGTACCAATCTCTTGGCATTAGTAGAGGTAAGCGTCCAAGGCATTTTACACCTGCCTTAACGC